AAACATCAAGTTATCAACATATTAAATCTGTTAGATTTGACTCAGACGTTTCTGCTGGCAGTTTATGTTGTGCTTCTGTGCAGAGTTTGGTAAAATGAACCACTACAGGCAGCCGCCATCTTGTCTACGAAGGCTCATGAAGGACAAACTGCGGTGGCGGCGTCAAAACAGTTTTAGTTGTAATACTATAAATGTAATATTTGTTGTCTGTCATTGTAGCTGGGATAATTTTACTTATTAAAGCTAGTAATCTTACCACTTGAAACATCACTAGCCCTGAAGCTGCTGGTAGACATCGCGGTTGGAATTATCAAAGGTTTTTGACACCTGAGAGACACCATAGAGTGGGGGTGGGGGGAGGACCAGAGAGGATGATTCAACCACTCAACCACTAGATGTTGCTGAAAACAACAACTCCTAAACACTGTACCTTTAAAGCGTAATGCACCATTTCTACAGCAACATAAACRGTGAGCCGGCTCCTCCAGAGGTTGAATTTGTCGGCCACATACGTCACAGCGCCGCGACGAAGGACGTCCAAAACCGAAGACTCCTCCGATGCGGCCGACAAATACGTCCTTCATTCGGCCCGAATTGAAGGACTGCTCTGATGGATCCTTCCAGGCCCAGCATATCCCATAATGCATTGCGGCCCGACCGGAGATTTTTTTAATGCTAGTAATGGCGGACGAAGCGAGAGAAAAAAATACGTGTTAAATAAAAATATAGCAACATAAAAATTTTATTTTTTTGTGGTTGTAATTCTAATACTTTTATCATTTGTATAGACATGTTTTTAAATATTATTTTGTCATAAAAAATGCAAAATAAACATGCACCTACGGCGGGTCAATTAGTTCTTCAAATGTTTTGTGACATAATAACACTAATATATTGATATTTTTCTAATTTTGATCTATTTTTGCTTGTTTAGTGTCATTACAGTTGCTAGGCAACATGACGTACACCGGGGTAAGGAGGGGAGGCTAGACCGTCTAGATTCATAGACTCTTTTTCCGGTCTTCCCAGTCTACCAAGGACACGGCCCACCTTGACCAGGTAGTCTGGGTCCTCCGGAGGACCTGGCCTGTCGTTTTGGACACAGCCATATAAACATCAAGGGCTCAAAATGGAGGTCAAGACCCACTCCTTTTGATTGACACCTCATTTGACCAACCAGGTTTATTGGCTCTCTGGAGCCAATAGAATGTGACAAATCTCCCAACTTCCGATTTGCACTCAGTGGGTGAGATTGACTGTAGAAAGGACCAATAAGCTTCAAGCTTCATTCTGCCACCACAGCTGTGTAGCCAATCAGCTTAACTTTCATTTGGTATTTAGTTTTGGGGGGTGGGAACCTTGTCACGCAAGTTAGAATAGAAATGTTGGAACTTTGTTGTGTTTGCAAGTGATAGGTGTCCCCCTAGTGGTCAAAGCAGTGCTAACAGAAAACATTGTTTTTAAATGAATTTTTGGACAGTTAGCTGACTAAACATGCTGATAGGGTGGAAATATGTTTGTTATGAAGTGTTTTGAGTGCCTCAAGACATAGAAGAGTTACTTTTGTGGCCAGGAACAGTAAAAAGGGACAGATAACACCACTTCCGGTCGGCCATTTTGAATAGCTAATTTTGTCATATTTGAGGACAAATATGCATCACAAGTAAGTGAAAAACAACTACCTTTTTGCTGCTGGTGGGTTTATAAGCTGTGTGGAGTTTCAATGCTTTGAAAAAGTAAAGATATATGTGACCCATCACATCGAAACGAGGATTAAGTCTAAAAGTTGTATAAGGAGAAAAAGACAAATATAGTGTTTTGACTAAAGTGTTAATAAAAATTGCATTTTGTCAAAACATAATGAATAAAAGCCTTATTAATGTATCATTTGAATGAACTGTCTGAAGTATAATCATAAAACTAAAGTTTGAAGCACCTTTTTTGAGCAGTAGCAACAAAAAAACTGATGAGGAAAAACACCTTAAAATGTTGAGATTTTCCCTGTGAGTTAGTAAAGTTTTATTTCTTTTTAGCTGGGAAATCTCAATATTCAAATTTAATTTGAGGTTTCCTCTTTATAAGGACATCAAATATTCCTCATTAAAATGACATAAAATTAGGGTTCAGACCAAATATTTATGTATTATTGTAACCAACAAGACAAATTAAGTCATATATATGGATTTAATTATGATATCAGAATGATCCAGGTATCAAAATGTAGCTTTTAAAGACAAGAATCTGAAAATGTAATTAGGTCATTTTTTCCAAATTTGACTTAATCCTCATTTCGATATGATTGTTATGATTTTCAGGCAGGAATGAACTCATAGCGCAGGCAAAAATCCAAAAAGGCTAAAAGGTAGTGATGGGCAGTTTGAAGCTGAAGCTTCGGCGCATGTATTGAAAAAAACAACACACTGTTTCAGAAGCACTGTGTCGGAGCTTGATTCGTTTGGTAAAAGTCATGTGATCAGTGACGTCCGAAGCTTCGAAAGTGGCGAACTTACGTCACTACTTTGGTACCTGATTCAAAGGTTAATGAGGAAGTGAATCGTTGGCTGGATTCGTGGTGTGTTTTGATGGCAAATGCGCAAAATACTGTATAACAAACGAGTGAAGGACTTATTGTGAGACAGAGGCAAACAAACGTATGTGTTTAGTTTGTCGTGCAGTTTATAAGCCTGGGCCAGATAGAGTGGGGGTCACAAACCCACAAAGAACCTTTGCTGCGAGTGCACGTGTGTGCGCGCGCACGCACACACACACACACACGGACCTACACAGAACTGCGTGCAGCTTGGTTCGTCATTAAAAAGAAAGCAATAGTAGAGCGAGACACATCCCAGAACAGAGTTTCACTTGTTGCACAGGTGATGATTTTCATAAAAAACAACCGGATGGTGACGATGYCCTGTCCTCAGGAGGAAGGGCGGCACGAAGCATTAGATGAAACTGATCAACTGTATGGACTCTATTTAATAAAGGGATTATCCAGACATTTTAAAGTTCAGTGGAAAAGTTTTAAATGTTCATGTCAAAATTTAAATCAAAGGCCAGGGGCAGTATTTATCAGACATGTAGGAAATATTATTAATACTTTGAAGAATTAATTGTAAAAAAAATATTGTCTCAAAGCTGGGCCTAAAATTTAGATATCAAACATCTGACTTAAAGTAAATCTGAAGAGTCTCTCAGAGGGGATTTTATTGATCCTGTATTCAGGAAAAACACAGACAAGCAGTCACACACAGAATATATTTTAAATATATGATCATTTTCAAAATTATTCTCAGAGAAATGTCAAGATAAGATTGTGAAAATCTTAAGTTGAAATTCAACTACTGTATTTATTGGTTTTAAGAATGTGTGAAATAATCTAGTGGCCTATATTTTATTTTTTGAAAATAACGGGCAGAGAATAAAATTAGACTTTTCTTTCTGCTTTCTGTCTTTCATTTTATTAGTGATTTTTTGTGTGTATAGAATTAATTTTGTTTTTAAAGGAAAATGAATTAAGATCTTGAACTTGAAATAATTCAGTATAAAACACACAGGCACACTTTATTTTATTTATAATAAACCATAAACAACAGTAACTGTATTCCCACCCACAAAAAAGAAAATAAATAAATAAAATCTGYTCAAGCAACACAATGACAGCCAGATATCAAACAGAAATATCTCATTAAAAAGCTGTCATCTCCATCACGATGAAGCGCTTCACTTTGTGTTGTTTCAAGCAGCTTTTCATACTTTTGGCCACAGGATGGAGCCAAAGAGAACTGTGTTGGAAAGCTTCGAGTAATGAACCCTTTTTCAAAGCAAGCTTCAGTGCTTCAGAAAAGCTTCATTTGCCCATCACTACTAAAAGGTGAATTATTTAACAAAGAAGGCTGACAGGGCAGCTCAAAAACTAACTGGTGTAGCAAGACAAGGCAACAAACATTCAGGCTGAGAACAACACAACGATCAGACAAGACTCAGAATATAAAGGTGAGACTAACGAGCACAAACAGGAAACACCTGGGAGAGARACATGAGGAGCAGGTGAGAGTGGGCGGGGCTGGAGCAAAGACAAAACAGGAGGAAGAAAACAGATGACAAGACAGAAACTARAATAAAACATTAACACAAACACAAGTCATAACAATGATGGGTCACATATTTGTTTATTGTTGTGTTTTGGCTGTTTATTGGTGGAAATTGGCTGAATGTACTCCAGTTTTGATTGATATTGCTGAATATTAATATATTTCTTTGTATTTTAATCATGCTGTGAGTAAAWATGGATGGTACAATGTGTTGTGTGAGGGTTTTATCTTTAATTTGAGCCCAGAGTGAAGTGTCTGCATTGAAACATTTAGAAATAACAGTGTTTAGAAAAAGTGTACAGTTTGGACATATTTGTACATGTGTACAAATATGCAAATGGTACATACTGGATCATATTATGTCTCAAATATTCATTTTTTATGCTATTGTTACCAAATTTGAACTGGTAATAGGTAGAAACCTATATTTCAGCCCATTTTTTCCCTTACTAAATCATTTCTTTCATATTCTGTGACACTTTAAAATATAAATAAAAAATATGGAGAAAAAATATCTTGATATTTGTGTATTTTAACTTCAAAAAATAAATACTAGTGACAGTTACAAAAAATTTGACTGCTGAAGTTAAAAATTCAGATTATTAGCTTTAAAAAGAGACCAAGCTTGTGAGTTTACTCTAAAGGGTTCAAGAGCAGTACTTCATTTAATTTGTGTACTTTTTAAGGCGTTTTATGGTATTTTAGGCCTGTAACCCATAACAAAGTAATGTGTTGTCTGCCCACTTATTAATTTGTGCTAGCTTGCAAATTTGCCAAGGACTGTCCTTTGCACCTGCTAGTTCCTCGTGATTTTATAAAGAAATCTTTTAACCTTTAATGTTTTGTTTGAAGACCATTCCATATGCTTAAAATATTTATTTCACATGTTTTAAAGTTTTATTTTTTTTATTTTTGTTCTTTTAATCATACTTGTGTAATCATGTTTGGTTTAATTTTCTCACTGATCAGTACTTATGATTACATAACAAGAAGAATCATTCAGCTTAGATTTAATTTAATCAAGTGTTTTGCCTTTAATCAATAATCATTGATCAACTAGTAATTCATTGATTTAGTTTCATTGTTGGTTTTACACTGATCTGACTCTAGTTGTGTAGCATTGAATGTTTGTGTGTTGTTCACAGTTCACCCAGACATCTTTTCATCTACAGTTGCACACGGCACCAGACACACAGCTGATTAAACAACATGTTTTCATATTTTTCTTGTCTTCTTCTCTTTGCTCTCTGCCTGAACTGTCTGAAGCTCTCGTAGCTTTTAGTTTTTGTCTGAAGCTGTTGCTCTTTGGTTGCTGAGCTGTTCGTTTGCTGATTTTAAACTGGAAACATCTTGCTGCTTTTCCAGTTCTTTCAACCTCAGCTGAACTTTCACGAAAAGGAAAACCTTTTCTTGGATTATAATTTTCCATTTTGGGGATTTAGTCTGGCTGTATAAAACTGCTGACTCGCCTGTGTGAAAGGACGACACTCTGGTCGTCCAATGCTCCGAAGCTTCACTAGTGTCCAAGACATGACCAACAGGTAAAGCTTTTGTCTTCAACTGCCCATCAAAAAGTGAAGACCACATCCAACTTGGGCTTTCTTGTTGACTGCCCTCATTGTCTGAAGACACAGTGATTTATGCTTTCCTACCTGACGGCAGCTGGTTCTTCTAAAATCTGCAGCCTCATGTCATGTCAAGTTAAAACATAAACTTAGAGAAACTTGGTTAAAACTTTCTTGCTGTCCCCTCTCGTGCTTTTCCTATGTTTTATTTAATTTTTAAACCYGATCTTTACATCTCTCTCGTTCACTCTTCTTTACAGATGTACATAAAACTAAGTATTTTTACGATAACCTCATACATAGATTAAACACAAACATGATGCACCCTGGGTTTACAGTTATAAAGTTAAGTAAAGCTGGTTTATATGATTTACTTACAAATGAATCTGTTAACCTGTTTTAGTTGATTAATTAAATTTGAGCCAATTACCTGCCACTAACTAAAGCTGTAATCAATTCTTTTTTTTTTTTTTTGGATGGCCTCCCTTCTCCCCTTATAGCCATCCTCTCCACACCATTATGTTTTTTTTTGTGAATAGAAAATAGAGAGAGAGAAAAACAGAGAGAAGTAATTAGAAAGATAGAAAGACTGAAATAGCGATTAGAAGTATATTAAATATACACCAACAAAACACAGGACCACACACCCAACATCTGTCTGCTCACCTGAAAAATAAATGGATAAATACATGGAGGGCATATATAAAAATATACACATACCCATACATATATARAGATATACATACATACATGCCTACATTCATAAATATTGTCAGTATATACAAACAGACATATATACACACTCAGTGACCAGTCAGAACCCCCCGGATCAGAACACCTGTTTGTGAGCAGTTGTGAACATGTGTGTATATACAAGATTTCTCCAATGGAATATTTAATAGTGACTGTGGAGGACCGAGACCCAACCCCCAAGACACGAGGCAGACATAGGGAAGACCAGAGCCCAAGGGCCCGAGAGGGATCCCGAGTGCAGAGCCCCAAGGGGCACCCGCACGGGAAGATCTGCCCACCCACCCCCCAGATCAGACCATAGGAGAGAACTGGGAGAGTCCCCCCAGCGACCACACACACAGCCTCCGGGGCCAGCAGCGACAAACTCATGGGCCCCACTGGCACCTGCCATACCAGAGCAGATCCAGGATAGGGCACAGAGGTCCGGGCCCCCGGGGCGCACCCCCTCCAGGCCAAAGCCTGACAGGTCCAGAGGCCCCGAGCCCCAACAGGCAGTCACCAGGCCAGGCCGGCACACACCCCAGCGCCCAGCCCCAGACCCCAGGAACCCCCAGCACACCGGCGGCCAGCCGCACACCCCACAGAATTGTAWTCAATTCTAATCAAATGTTTGTGACATGTATTTTAATATTTGGTTTTAAATAAAACATCTGACACATCTGTGTAGATGATCAAACTTAAATAATGTCTCTGGTCTTGTTCTGTGATGTTTTGAGGTTTTTCTCTTGATTCGGATCAACCAAAGATCCAGAGAGAGAGACAGCCTCTATCACTGATAAACTGAGTTTCCTGGTTTCACTGAAAGCTCGGTTGGATTAACATAACCATGTTATGTTACCTGGTTCCACYTAACTGAGTTGAGTAAATTCAAAGYAATATACCAGTTTTTTAACCAAAGAACATGAGTATGTTGCTTTGAATTTACTCAACTCAAAGTGGAACCAGGAAACGYAACATGGTTAAGTAAATCCAACWTTTCATTTTTTCTGTGAGGTTCTGGTAAACTGTTCAGTGACAGAAAAGTAAAGTTCCCTGCATGTCTCAGGCTGTACTTGAGCTGCTGACCCAGACTGAGGATATCATTGAGCTGTGGAAGGAACATTTTATGGAACTTAAAATCCACCCTCATGATGCTCAGCCATGTGCAACAACTGGCCTGCATGAGCGTCTGTACYACACTGTACCACTAACACGTTTTGTTACAGACAAAGACCTATAAATTCAAACTTATACTCAACATATTGTTGAGAAACTAACAGCTTCATGATGTCAGAGAAGGATATCTTACCGTGTACAAGCAGCCCAAAGACAAAAAACATCATCTTCCTGCAAACAAACATCAAGTCCACTATAAATGATGYCTTAAAAACGGATCAAAAGCATTTTAACAGAGACATCACTGCTGGTTTCGGTTTACTCCACTACCTGTSTGTTGTAACTTGACTGTTTTCACAGCAGCAGCTGTAGGAATGTAGGAAAACCAGCTGATCAGGTTTCACACCAACTGACAGTTTATTTCCTTTTACTTCTTTTCGAAACATCAGGATTCTTTTGATTTCGGTTGTGTTTGTATTTCAGTTTGACCTTGTTTCTTTTGGGTTTCTTATGTTTCTGTTTATCATTCCTTGTCCTAAACTGTATTATTTCAGTTTCAATCATTCTGTTTTCTGTTCATATTAATCTCTGTCTCCATCTTCTGTCACTCATCCATAGTTGGGTCACAAAGGCAACAGGTCCWGGAGAGAAACCCMARCATCACTCTCCAGCAACACTTTCAACTTGTCCTGGGGACCCAAAGGCTCTCCCATTGCCAGTGCTGCCGGGCAGGTACCGATGACCTTCAKACCACAGCTYCTAGWAGCTGGATCTGYAATGGAGGCCCTGAACATGGCCCCRGAGGTGAGGGTTGAAGATCCAACTCACCACCAGTTGACAGCTCTGCCTCCTTCTTCACCTTAGTGTCCAAGTCATAGGCTGTGTCTCAATTCAGGGGCTGGGTCCTCATGAGGACACAGCCCCTGAATTGAGACACAGCGATAAGGCTGCGCATCAGAAAACATGGTTACAAAAATCAATCATCGACTTTTGGCCTAAGGTGGCTTGGTAGCAAACACACTTACAGACCTCAAATATGCTCAAACATGGTGTTCATCGTGGATAACCTGTGCTCAGCACAGAGGTCCAATAACAGAACACTGTTCAGGTTCAGATCAGGGAGGCCGTTCCTCCCATTCATCCTCTTCCAGATAACTCCATCATTGTCCACATAGGTATTGAAGTCACCCATTAGAACAAGAGTCTCCAGATGGAACCCCTTCCAGGACACCATCCAAGACTCCAGAAAGAAACTCAAACAATAAGCCTGGCTTCAGAGAGGTGCCCTGGTTTCCTTTTTCTGGGTGAGGTTTCCTGATGAGGTTGYTGTTTCATTTAATCTGTTTCTTAATCTGACCTCTCCCCCAAGGCCTTTTAGCCACGTGAGACCCTTTCAGGGATAATGCCCGACAGCAGAGCCCCAGAGAACACTGGGATACTCAAACCAATCCAGCACGTKAAGGTGGTAATTGTTGGGATGGGCTGTCTCTGTCTGCTGCCATCTTTACATCAGTAGATCATTACACTGTTTCCMTCCTGATCTCCTGGATACCTGTGTGTACCTTTGTGCTTCTTATAGTAATATTAGTTTAACATTCATTCCTCAAGTGTTGGCATTTTATGCTTYACAACACCACTCTAACAACACAAGCATCTAGAAATACAGAGGTCACCATTGCAAACAGATGCACCTAACATACTGTTCATTTTCAGACTGTACTTCTTAAGGAAGCTGAGATCCTTCGACGTTTCAGCAAGATGCTGCAGATCTTCTACAAGTCTGTTGTTGAGAGCGTCATCTCTTCTGCAGATCTTCTACAAGTCTGTTGTTGAG